TGTTTGGACACACGAATGGGAAAGTGTCCAAACTTTTGACTGGTACTGTACTATAATATACAAAAAGAATATCGGCCGATATATCGATATCTGCCTTTTTTTACTCCCCAATATCGGTATTGGTATCGGCCCCGAAAAACCCTTATCGGTCGGGCTCTAGTACAAAGTAATCCACAGGTTTACCCACACATGTTGGATGTTCTAGTACCTCACGGCACATGTCAACTGCACATGGGATAACTAGCTCTTCACCGATATTAAACGATTTCTTAGCATGGGCGATGTGGCCAGCTGCCAGATAACTTGCCTTCAGGGTGCTTTTTGAAGCTGTCGTGAGCGACACAATACTACTTTTCTGTCTTTTAAGTAGGTCTCGCTTTCGTACAAAGTAATCCACAGGTTTACCCACACATGTTGGATGTTTAGTCTGTAGGTGACATTCAAGTTTGAATGGCTTCATGGACTCCTTTGCTAAGACCTCACCACACTCAACACACTGTGGTTTTTCGTCCGACGCAGGGAATCCATATTTAATATAGTCTGGGTTGTACTTGCGCTGCCTTTGAAGTGGAAGGAGTTTCTGAATCTTCTGCTTTTTTTCCTTTTAAAAAACGGATGCATTTTGTCAAGCTAACAGGCCGTGGCTGCATATAGTAGGTCTGGCATAGCAATGCATTGCAATCTCCTGCGCCGTCGTTACCAAGCAACGGGGTAAACAGCTGCTAGCGTGTGTAACATTACATAAAGAGAGTAGGACCTTGTCCAATAAGAGCCGTTCGCGGCAGCGATAAATTATTGTCTTTTTTGTATGACATTAAAATTCTTTTTAGAATATAGGTTAAGCAAATCAAATGTGATTATTTCTGAGAATTATTTAACTGCAGGCAGACATTATGGTACAGAAGGCCTACAGATATTTTGTTGGAGATATGCGAGCAAAAAATTATTCGTGTCTGGTTTGAATCCAGAAGGAGCTTTTAAAAAACGGATGCATTTTGTCAAGCTAACAGGCCGTGGCTGTGTATAGTAGGTCTGGCATAGCAATGCATTGCAATCTCCTGCGCCGTCGTTACCAAGCAACGGGGTAAACAGCTGCTAGCGTGTGTAACATTACGTAAAGAGAGTAGGACCTTGTCCAATAAGAGCCGTTCGCGGCAGCGATAAATTATTGTGATAGGACAGTTTAGAAACAGCGTTAGAAAGTTACGGCAATAATGATTCAACATGCGACATTCGAAAATACGATTCGTTGGAGGTCACTGTTTCAATGAGCCTTTTGTGAAGCGCACTTACTGGCTGTGCCGGTGTAACACCAAGAACACAGAGAAAGTCTCGTGATCCCCTATAGAATGATCCGCGACCCACTGGTTGAGAAACAGTGGTGTACTGTGTATATTTATTATGTATATATAAATACACACACATACAGTATATATTTTGAAAATATTTAAGTGAAAGTGACGTGACATGTGGCCAAGTATGGTGACCCATACTCGGAATTAGTGCTCTGCATTTAACCCATCCAAAGTGCACACACACAGCAGTGAACACACACCCAGAGCAGCCGGGCACCTCAGTCGTGGTATTGAAGGTAAAGAGAGCGCTGTACATTCACTCCCCCCACCTACACTCCCTGCCAGTACGAGACTTGAACCCACAACCTTTGGGTTACGAGTCTGACTCTCTAACCATTAGGCCACGACTTATGTATTGTATATAAATATATTTAATATATAAACCACAAATTTTTCTGTATAACCCCCCCTCTGGTTTATGCATCCCTGCCTCTGCTGAATTAAATTTTAAAAACATCCCCACCGGGGATAACAACAGTCAACAGTCCCGTTCTGAATCAATTGATTCGCGATACGTGATCCGATTGGAGCGCTTCGAAACAGTGGCTACGTTTACATGCACAATTTTTGGTTAAATCGGACTGAATTCATTCTCATTCCGACTGATGAATCTGAATGTAGCGTTTACATGAGTGATAAATAAAGTGATCGGGTTGATGTGCGCGTTTATGTCACAAGCTTCAAATCAGAATTTTTTTTTTTTACATGCGCACACTGCACAAATATAGTTTCTCACTGTTTGCACATAATAACCACTCTCCTACACGGTTTCTTTATTTGTTTTTAAGAGCAGAATTAATATTTATCCATTTATGGATAAATGCCGTGCTGCTCATATTTATCACGCAAAAAAATGCCCCTCCCCCGCCCCCAAAACGGGTTGCCTGTGGATGAGTATCCAAAACAAGGACTGGTGGGAGGTTGTCCTGCTCCACTTCACAGTTGCCGAGTGAAAGGAGGGATTTATAATGACAGGACACGCATTTATACAACACTTTATTCAAAAGGAAGAGCCGCTAGTCCCGCGCGTCATACTCATTACGCTATTGCACATGCGCAGTTCTTTCAGTTTCGGGGTTCAATCCGATCGAGTGTTTACATGCACTCTCAATCGTATTAGAAAGGGAATAAACCACCCCCTTCAATCCGATCGAGATTTGATTCCGATCGAGCTCAATCGGATCGATTAAGGTGTTTACATGAAGGCTTTTCAGTCCGATTGAGCCGTCAATCCGATTACATACGGATTATTTGGCTGCATGTAAACGTAGCCAGTGAATCATTTTGCGACTCAATGGTTTAACTGATTCAGAGTTTCAAAAAGCTCCGTTGATACGGAGTTCTTTGCTCGCTTTCTCTATATAATTTATTCGTCGCTTGAATAACCGTGGAAATGAAATCATACAATATTTATATACACAATACCTAACTTACAATATTTTTAATAGATTGTGATCACGTTAAATACAGTTCCTGTCGTATTCAAATACGACATGACATGACACCCATTATATGGTACTTGCCTAAAAAGAAGGGTTTATGATGTGCGTTATTAACAGATTACACTAACATTAGGTTACTTAGGCTACAGCCTTACCCTTACCTTCCACCTATGGAGAGAGAAAAAAGTTTTCAAAACCCCTCTGGTTTTTTCCACAAATCGCACCCTGTATATGTGTGTGTGTGTGTGTGTGTGTGTGTGCATGTTTATGTGGTTTATGAGGACACAAATTTGTATAATAACATGGGTATGACATAGGCATTACAACGAGAAGGTGATTTATGAGGACATTTTCAGTGTCCCCGTAATTCAAAAGGCTTATAAATAATTCAGAATGAGTTTTTTTGAAAATCTAAAAATGCAGAAAGTTTCCTGTGAGGGGTAGGTTTAGGGGTAGGGTTGGTGTAGGGCAATAGAAAATACGGTTTGTACAGTATAAAAACCATTACGCCTATGGAGAGTCCCCATAAAAACAAACCTGTGTGTGTGTGTGTGTGTGTGAGAGTGTTGTTGTTGTTTTAAATACAGTGTTCTTTTTGCATTTTAAACTTCCCATTGTGCCCGGGGTCTGTCTCAAATCCAGCTAAAAATATTCACTCGAGGAAAAAAAAAAAGCGTGACAACCAACCCCATTCTCCCCTATATTAATATCCAATGGAAAGTATATTAATAAAAATGCAGACTTCCTCTAAAACAAAGGTACATGGTGGCTGTCTATCTAGTAGACACTGAGCATCACAGGCGCTTGATGCACGTACCATGCTCAAAATGTCAGCACGTGCCTATGATGCTCAGACGTGTTGTCCAGGTAGGAAGCTCACTAGATTTGAGACACGGCCGACATCTGTCACATACTTGTACTTTACAAAATCATCTGCATCCCAGAGTCCACAGAAAGCTGCACAATGTCACATTTTCGCGTTAAAACAGAAAGAGCATCATACAAATGTTGAGCAACTCCAGGACAAACAGGTGACAACAAATGCACATACATTTGCTTTCGTGCATTTCACTCTAAATCATGCATCCGTGGCATCATCACTCAGATATCATCAGCACTTACCCAGAATATGAAGTTGAAGACGAACAGCAGGTATTTGACACATTTCATGCCGCCCTGGACGTTGCTCATCCTGCCTGCCGTTTCGTTCCGCGCGCTCGCCGTTTCGACCAAAATGTTTGCGCAGATGTGCAGGCCTCTCTCAGAGATTATTGTAATATTACATTATAATTTTAATATACACTTTTTAATATTTTAACATGTATTTTCATGTTAAAATATTAAAAAGTTTATAGTAATTTTAATATTTTAACATGAAAATACATATGTATAAAGTTTTTGTTGTTGTTGTTGTTGTTGTTTTTTAGAAAGATGAGATCTGCACATGTACACACAAAATACATTGTTTTCCAGTTTTCAGAATTGCTTTCAGGCATTATGTTTGAACCTAGGTTGTCATTTACAACGCCTTCATGATGTGGTCAGACATTCAGGGTATTCATTATTGAGTCTCTTTCATAAAGTTTGTCTCACTGCACAATACATCAGTCACAATCACTGTCATCTCATTGGTGAGAGGATGCCATTGTCTGCCGGTTTGAGGTCAAACTCAGGACACTCTGAGATAATCTTGAGATAATCGTTCTCACATTTTCAGGAGAGACTGTCGTTTTACTATATTTATTCAAATCCATGACTGTTTGTGTATTTTTCATGTAAAACCCAGCCTCTATACTATATATAAATTATATAGTTAGGCTATATTTACTTTGGTGGTCGTCTTTGACCTTAACTGTTTTGTATAAACTTTAAAATGCTTTAATACAATGATGTCAAAACACAAGTTGCACCAAACAAAGAAGAGATCAACCTGTCTCTCAAAGTACAATGACCAGCTAGGTTTATAAAACATCATGTTTGAGTAACCCTACCGGCTTTGACCATCATCTGAGTTAATGGTTATACAGCCAGCAAAATCTGAATATGGTTTTCAAATACATACAGGACACAGTGTAGACTTATTTAGGGTATAGACACTGATATGAATCTAAAAAGAAGAAGAAGAAATATTTTAAAATTACACCGACATATAGTAATCCTTTATATTTCTTTGTTTTATATAGGCTATTTCTTTATTTTATAATCGTTTTATTTTTATTTTTATTAAGGGAATTATTGTGGTCATCTCTGATGAATTTCAAAGTGGAAATGCTATTTTAAAAAATTGTAAATTGTTATCTCAGGTTTAGTCAAGAAAATGTTTTCCTATGAATCAAGTAAACCCTTGAATGAACGGCCTTCTATAAAGCTGCAATAAAATCAGGACATGTGATATTTAATATATTTAGTATATGAGCAATTAATTAGTATGTTTCGTTAATTTAAACAACATATATTGTAATAGCAGTGCGCTCTCTAGTGATAAAATATGTATACTACAAGCACGTGAACTGTCAATATTGTACAACAACGGGCCAAATGGTAAGTAAAATTGAGTGACATGACATCAAGAATCTTATTTTTGCCCCCCCCCCCAAAAAAAGCACTCATTCATAGTATAACAGAAGAGAATGGCAACATTAAATAGCCTAATGCCCTCATCCATTGTAGATTTGGGAATTAACCACTAGAGGGCGACTGTTGTTTGTTTTTGAATTGGTCCTGGTCCGTCCACGCTATTTACTGTACACCTTATCGCTTTAGATACCTTAATTCACTGTGGTCTCTCGATTAAGACTTCGAGACTTTTATGTGAATGTAATTAGGGAATCTTCAGCCTTTCTGAAGACGATAAATCCTTGTAGTACGCACACGGAGAGGCGGCCGTAGCCTTGTTTGAAATCTCCACGGTGTGTCAGTACCATCCACAGTTCATTAATCTCGTTAATATTCGTGAATTAAACAAAAGGGGCTCTCTTGGATTTGTCACAGCAAACTCTCCATAGGGAGCTGTCCTACAAACAATTAGAGACACGCTTGTTTGTTCCATTAACATGAGCGTGAGGAAAATGATCTCTCATTCTTCATCTGAGTAGAGTTGTTTGAAATAACTGCTGACCACAAAACATCCTCTTCTAATGAGAGCAAATGGTTGTGTGAAAGTGACTTTGTTTGAAATGATGACCCTTTTACTTGACCCGCACTATATCGCTAAACAAACAAGTGCTGATGAAGGACCTCATGGTGGGTTATGTGACATATAAACCTAACAATCCTGTTGATTATTCCACTCAAACTTTGACGTCTGACCTTGCAGACCTGTGGCTTTCAGGCTTCCAGACATGACCTCATCATGTGGCCGTGCACCTGACCTCTGGCATGTGATCTCCCTCTGTTTACACAATCAAACCTGAGGTGGGTCTCACAGGCCGCGGTCCATCTGTTTTTTAAGACTTCCACATGCTGCCTAAACAAATGTATTCAAAGTCTGATTGGAGTGACACCTGTTTGTGGTTGTTAGAATTGCTTTTTAACGATTTTCACTCTCAAGGCCAGTTCTCTAGGCATCACGTGGAAGCCTCTAGTCTGGAAGGGCAACGTCTAATGCATTCCAGCGTAGGTCCGTTTCCATGTGTGTGAGGCACATCTGTTGAGATTTGAGGTCGGTCCCACCAACAGTTTCAACAAACTTTCCGGCTTATTTAAAGTGTCTGACAAAATTTGCCCTGACCGTTTAGTTTTTCTGCCACATGGCTGGAGGTCGTGTCTGAGTCACGGCTTTTTTTAACATCAAACCCAGAAAAAAGCCAACTCATTCCCGAAAGCTTAAACTGAGGCTGTTCTGTAAAGTGCAATGGCTTTTTTGGGCTTACAGCACAATGGAAAATATTTAAAGGAATATTCTTGATTTGGCTCTGTCAACAGTATGGCATGCTGTCGATGGCCACAGAAAATAATCTGGACAATGTGAAATATTTATAGTAATGCAATTACATTGGATGCCTAGTGAGCCAGCATTTAAAAGCAAAAAAATAAAGGTCACTTATGTTATAACTTAAGTTTATTTGACCTGTAAAATTGATCTATTTTTCTAGATCGATAAACCTCTGGTTATTCTGGTTTCCTTCTATGTTTTTAACTGGTATTCTTGAGCAAATACCAAGTGAAGGTAACTGGGTTGAACTTTTTTTAGTTGGTTGATAAGCAATTCTGTTAAACCATTTAGTGTTTCATGCTAACATGCAACGTTTGGGTGTTTTTCCCTCTCCAAAGAAGGTCATACAGCATTAGAATAAATCCAGTGTAACTAAATAATGACTGAATTTAAATTTTTTGGGTGAACTATCCTTGTAAGTATTTATTCATATTACTGCCTGCTTGTCTACTAGACTTCAATAAGTGCACTGTGGAAAAAACAACAACTTTTTTTTTTCATATTTATTTTTCGTCAAATTATTTTCTGTGGTAACCAACAGCACAAATGCTGTCAAAAGAGCTTAGGTCAACATGAAACAGATTTGTTTTACCATTTCCAAACAATTTTAATTTGATAAGATGATATATTTCAGAGTCAAGATATTTAACAAGAACACAGTAGACGTCTGCAAGAAGTCCATAAGGTTAAGAAAACCCTTGACAATACACTTCTTGCAACTGGGCCCAGGACTTTTTAAACCATTGGTGACTGACTGACAAGCTGTCTGTGGACATTTGTTGAAAAGTGGTTGGAGGGGCTTAGTGACATCAGCCAAAAATAAAAGTCATTCAGTCATTTTTTTTCTTTGGAATAATGTGCACCAATCAATAATACCAGGAAGACGTGTTAGTTAGTAAATTAGGTTACTTTTAAAGTCACATTGAAAATAAGTTCATCCAAAAGTGAAATTTCTGTCATCATGTACTCACTCTCATGTCGTTCCAAACCCGTATGACTTTATTTCTTCTACAGAACCAAAAATATGACAAAAGGTCAATGCAATTGTAATGAACAGAGACCGAGGATTTCAAGTGTGAGTAAATGATGACAGACTTTTAATTTTAAGTTGTATTTAACTCAAAATGTTCATTTAAAATGACCTCATCTCCTAATATGCACAAAATCAGCTAGACAATAATGATGCGATTTAATAAATAACAATTACACAACACACACAACAATGTATGTACATGTTCTCGTAATGCTGCAAATGAAAACAATTATCTTAAGACAGAAATGCATAAAAAAGAACTGAAAAAAGTCCATTGCAGTGTCCTATGACAAAAACACATCATATTTATCCTCCTTAGATGGTCTGTTTTATGTCAGAAGTTGTCATTAATGGTTTACACAAGGAAAATGTCCACCATCACATAGAGGATTATGAGTTTGATATCATAAGGCCGGCGCTGGCGTGTTGAAAAGCAGCCAGTTTGTTACTGTCTCCAAGACTTTCGGCTCAGCACACACACACAAGCTACATCGATCCTTATGAGTCTCCACGCCACCAGGTTCTTGAATGAAGTCAGCGCTCGCACAAACGTGTGTGAATTGGTACAGTACGAGTTCCAATGGCGTGCATCGATTCCCAAACACCCGGATCCTCCGGTCCGCCCGCTGCTGCACGTCGTCTCAAAAAAGTACTGCTTTTTCTTGGAATTGTTGATGATTACGTTGGGCAAGACGGTGACCTCGTTGCCCGAGATGTCTGTAGCTTTGGTTTTATTTCCCTCCCAAGTGCTAACGCTCTCGCAGACGGAGTAAACTCCGCGATGTTGAGGTGCTCCTGCTTTTCTCTTCGCTCTGCTCCTCGTCTGGTGCCCAGCGGGCTCTGAGTCGGGGGGTTGTTCGCTGAACAGAACGCGGGGTGAGCGGTACCGTCTCTTGTTGAAGAGTTTAGGATCCACAGTCGGCACAGGGTTGGCCGTGACATCATGCTGTCTGTGGTCGGTGTTTTGTGGACAGATGTCACCTGGGCACTGGGCAAACATCTGGCTGCAGGACAAGAGCAGCAGGGCTAGCATGGACCACCGCATGGGCTCAATGTGACCTGAGTACGGCATAGATTAACGGTAGCTATCATCACACAGAATAACATACAAACAAATATGATGCCAGATTTCTTTAGTTTTTCTTCTGCACAGACACTTTGGCTGTATACAGCCAAAGAATGGTAGTTAAACAATATGATGGTTGAAATCTGAAAAAGCTCAATAAAGCTTCAAACTTTTTTTTTCTCATTTCTTTTTCTTTTGAAGTAGTGTAATCAGGCATCAAAACATTATAA